TAAAATAGTATAAAAAGTTAATTTAGATTATTTTTTATTTAATATAAAAAATTATAAAGATTGATTAAAATTTGAATAATTTTTATTAGAAGTAATTATTAATTTTTATATTAAGATACAAATCTTTTTGTACTGATTCATAATAATTAATATTATCTTATTTATTATTATTTATTATAATTTATCATATAAATTATTCTTATTATTATAAATTTCTTATTTAGTAAATCTGAATTTATAATATAACTAATAATAATTTTATTAGAAAAATTTAATTATTAATTATATATATTTTATTATTATAAGAAAATATTAATATATTAAATAATAATATAATAAAAATTGAAAATTTTACATATAATTATACTTCTTTTTAATTGATTATTTTTAATATACAAGATTATTTATAAATAAGACTTTTCATGTAAATCAGATTTATGATAATTAACTAGTATTATACTTATAACATTTATTATCACGTGACCTACAGAATAATTCACCGATTATAAATTAGATATATTACGAATCATGTGACTCTTTATGAGGTAAATCGTTGTTTGAACAGTTCATAGCGATAGGCTCAAAAATAAACTTTCCCCGCTAAAAAATCATCTGATTAATGGAATGCCAAAATTATAATATCAATAATTATAAATCTATTTAGAAAATGGTGCATCGGTTTCTGAATTTGAAGATAAATTACCAATGTTATGCTTATTTGTATTTTTGAATGTTGGATCCTGAAACTCTAAACAATCTAACCAAAAATACTTTGTGAATTCTCTTCGCGGGGGTATTAATAAGCGAATGATTGCATTTTAATAAGTGTAATTGATTATTATGCTTGACAGATTAATAGACAAATTTACTTGACTAATAACAAATTTACTTGACTAATAATAACAACAATAATAGTTTAAGAATTTTATTCTGTGAATTTTTTATTTATCACTTTCAAATACATAAAGAGTAGTCTTTTATTGTGGCCCGCTTCACTATCATTGGGTGAAAGTGCAAAAATAATATGATGAAATTTATTTCTTGGCGAGACGTTAAGTAAAAAAGGAAATTATCTTACCAATTATCCACTTTTTAGATAATATTAACATCAACAACGCAAGACTGAAAATTTTAAGCACAAAAAATTCTCATTGGTCATAAAGGCAAGAACAATATTTACCGTATTTTTCTTCTTGCATTCTATCATTAAAAATCGCCTCGCATAAAAAAGAACGTCCTTGTTTTTCTTTTATGGCCAGTCCACCACCAGCACATACGACTTGTTTACTGTAAATAGAAATTATAGAAATGGTAGTTTATTTGATTTTGGTAATAATTATTTACAGTCAAACCTCGTTATGACATTAAATAAACTCGAGATGTCATAATAACGAGGTTTAAATGTAATGTAGATTATCTTATCCTTTTACAATGTTTGTTTCACACTCACATTTTCAAAACAATGTCATCGGGAACCTACGCACAACGCGTCAATAACTTTTCTCAAAATAAAGTTGCACGCAAGTTACTAGAAACTATTGAACAGAAAAAGACAAATTTGTGCGTAGCCGTTGACTTGACGAAGAAACGACAAATATTGGAGGTGGTAGAGAAGGTGGGGCCGTATGTTTGTTTGATCAAGGTAAAATAACTTTTAACAGGGAAAGAATAAATGGTAGTGGGTTATTACAAGAAAATTTCAGTAAGGCAATGGTGCTATCCTTCTTCGATAATAAAGACATTTTAGATTTGATGTTAATATCCATATTAATTTATGTTGAATAGACTCACATTGACATTATCGAAGACTTTGATCAAGGATTCATCGATGAACTATGTATACTGCAAGCTCGATTCAATTTTTTAATATTCGAGGACCGAAAATTTGCTGATATTGGTGAATTTACTAATTTTCGACATGCTAAAATGCATTTTTTTTTTTAATATATAGTTTATCATTTATTTTATTCAAAACAAAACAGGGAATACAGTAAAACTACAATACTCTTCGGGAATTTACAAAATAGCCGAATGGGCACACATCACAAATGCACATCCAATACCCGGCGACGGGATTATCAAAGGACTAAAAGAGGTTGGCAAACCGCTAGACCGTGGTCTACTGATCCTTGCCGAGATGTCGTCGGCCGGCAGTTTGGCCACTGGTTCATACACGGATGCAGCGATAGAAATGGCACGTAGACATCGAGATTTTGTGATTGGATTCATTGCTGGAAGAAAATTGACTGGTAGTAATAACGATTCAAGAAACAAAGATGATCATGATGTAATAGATAATGATGATTTCATCGTTATGAGTCCGGGCGTTGGAATAAGTGATGCAGGTGACAGGTTGGGACAACAGTATCGTAGTCCTACGGATGTTATTTTGAAGTCTGGAAGTGATGTTATCATTGTTGGACGTGGGATTTATGGAGAAGGTCGTGATATTGTTAAAGAGGCGAAAAGATATCAGGAAGAAGGCTGGAACGCATATTTAGAGAGGTTAAAATTGGAAAAGTAATGAATGTAATCGAGTTATTTATCATAAATTTCAAGTTCAATAGAAACGTAAATTTAAGTAATCCTTGCCAATAAATCCAAATGATAATCATAAACCAATCAAAAACGTTCAATCCCACAATTTCCACATGTTCGCGCTGTATCACCCAGCTTCTTATAAATACGCTTGATCTCCACAACCTTTTGATTTTTTTCATACTTACCTGCCTGGGTTCGGCCACGATCATGAAGGTGGTTGGGCAAGTGATGGTTGCTGGCATTGCACAGCGTTGGTGGCCGCTGCTTCGAACGTCCTACGGGATGTCTCGACAGGATAATTTTTGTGTGTGGGGTGTATTAAGTGGTTCGCCGCTAATCGCCCCTTCATGAGTTTAGCGATTTGGGGAGTTTTTTTAAATTAAGAACCTATTTTTTCATTCGACGATATAAATAAAAATAATTAGTCATCATCTATGCTACACGCTCAAAATATTCGTGCCATCGTTAGAAAAATTATGGACATGATCTTGTATTACGTATTTGGAAAAAAGAATTACACAAGAATTTTTATTAACCATATTTATATTTATTCATATAAATTTTTAAGCTTACTTTATTAAGTTTATTACTCCCACAAAAAAGAGGGATAAATTAACGTTAGCGTCGAAAAATTGACTAAACATCGCGATGGTGAAAATCAACATCATGAATGAAAAATTGGGAAGATAATGGCGATTACAATAATATTTATAAGTGACATGTTACTATTTTACTATTGATCTTTTCTCGAGAGAATGTACAGAAAAAAGTTTAGGGAGTAAAAGATACATTTAATGATTAAAGGAATTGTCAACCCCATTCATAAAGTTCAAATGATCGGTTGTTTAAATAAAATTAGTCAATATCGGGAAGGCATTATATTACACATTAACAAAGAAATACTTCAGTGTCATAAAAACTGCGTTATTATTAGGAATTAGGAATTAGGAATATTGAACTTAAAAAAAGAGTGAAATAATCTAAATAACCAATTGACGATACTAATTTCTTTAACATCTCTCGTTTTTCGACATGCAAAAAGCGCATAAGTTATCTAATTCATTCCTTTGATTAATTTAGAGTTCCATGGTTCGAGTCAATTTGTTAAGTCAATTACAAAAAGTACGGATAAAATAATCTTTCCTCTATCCAAATGTTAATTTTTTCGAGCTTATCTCCAAAGTTTTGATTGGTTCAGAATACTAAAGACCGATCTTAAGACCCGGATTAGGGTCAAGATTAGACTTAAGAAAAGAATTTTTTGTAGAATTGTCTCTCTGACATTTGATCAAAAAATTTGGGCTTTCTTATTGGTTAGACTAGGTGCAGCCAGCCAATCAGCGATAAGATTTTACCTGTGTCCGGAAAACCGGAAAATTATACTACAAAGGTTAAGCGTTTGGATTAAGACCATCCATAAAGTTTGCTTTACGACATTTTTAATTAGCGCTTCAAGCATCTGTTTTCACAGTTTTCATTTTTTTTTGTGTCGGGGTTTTTTTGCTGAGCTGATCAAGCATTCTTATGGAATGATAACTAATAGGAAACCCGGGTGAAAATTAGTAAATGCTGGAATACATAGATGCTTAATTTTGGGGTTCATTATTCGCATTATACAGTAATAAAAGAGTTTCTTTATACACGCATATCAATATATTTTGTGCCAATTTTCGTCGGTGCAAAGAGGTCTCGCCTTGGGGGGGGGGGAGAAGGTTCAACTTGGAGATCTACCCTGGATGGTCAAAGGCTATCCCTAATAAGGCCAAGTCAAAATTAGAATTACATTAAATATATGCACATTATAAAGTGTGCAATATTCCAGTCTATGAGCACCATGCATGCACCGATCCAAAGTAAACAAATAAAGCAACTGGAAATTCAACATGTTTTCATCAGCGGGCCAACCAAATATCTATTTTATATTATATGTTGTTAAATAACCTATTACCATCATATCAAAATGAAAGCCAAGAAACGACGACGACGACGACGATGATGATGATGATGATGACAACAACGGTGGTTCCCATACACAATCTTTCAAATCTATACAAATTACCACAAGTGCGCAGTCAAAAGAGCATTCAGTTCTTATCTTATACGGAGATGTAACTGTCACCACTGTGTCTGTATTTATGTGTAATAATAATTGTTGTGCATGTGCGTGTGCGTGTGAGTGTGCACATGTAAGCAGATGAATTTTTAAAGGGCCAAATTCTAAATTTAAATTTTGAAGAGAAGGAAGGAACGCACCATTTAATGTCTAATATATGGACGAGAAGTGTGTGCATATACTCGCTTTTTGACATATTAATAGATTCTTGAATAAATGGTGACTGGTTTATCTGGTTTATGAATTCACATAGGATTAAATTCAACACTGCGTCTACATAAAATTATTATTAATTTAGTGGTGAGAGTAAAAAGATCAAAAAACTGATAATGAGTTGGTTGGCTGGTTCGAAAAAAAGGACTTTATTCGTGTTTTGATTTTATTATGGATTTTGTGAATGTGTATCGGTGGCATATTGCGTGGTGACAAGGTACTATGCTTTATGGAAGTTAAATAACGATTTTATGGGTTGCAGCTGAATAAAAATGTTTGTGCACTTGACTCAACATCCAGCGTTTAGAGAAAAAAAGGGACTCTTTGTTTTTTATTGATGAGAAATAGAGATCAAAGGTGGAACATAGATTTCCTAGAATCGTAATACGTATATTCCATGTCGGAATGAATAACAAAAACAATTTCTCTTTCATTAGCGCTATTAATTACGTGGTATCGTAAAACATCTTACCATGGTCATCAGTCATAATACAAGAGATGGTTATCAGTCATATCAACTGTAAGAATTGTAACAAATAAAGGAGAAATATTAAAGGTTCTCCGAGTCTAATTAAAAATTGTGTAGTTGCTGGCCTTCGCGAAATTCATTTGTTCCTCAGATGATTCGCTAAAAAAAAGTTATGCTACATCCTCCCCATTATCCATAATATAATGAGAATAAGAGAAAGGGTTCATTTTGAGACAGGAGAATGAAAAAAACTTGATATTAGAACGTCAAAGAAAAATGACACATCATTAAAATAGATTATGACATTTGACGTTCTTCCTATTTAATAACGGTGACACAAGCGGGTTATTGAGATTTAAGGAGACGTTTCACCCGTATTTTTTCAAATTCTGGTAGAAAATCTATATCCATGTATAAAAAATTTGGTTGGCATCGTCTCCATGAAAGATTGGGGAACAGGGGCTCCGTGATATTCAATCAAGCTTCGAATTAAAGTGTGTTTGTAAAATTCACCTTTTTTTTAGGGACTAATCGGGATAAACGTCAAAAGAGAAAGCTTCTAATGGCTACTATTCACTTTAACCTCATAAAGATTAATCGATAAAATTATGTCTATGATCGTCAAAAATAAGAAAACGGAGCTTAGCACACCTCGTAAGAAATGAAATTGCATCATAAACATCTCGTCATCATCACAATCATCAAAAACAAACAAAATCCCACTTGAACGAATCTAGAATCAAGAAACAACGCATCCCTCGAAATAAAGTTAAATCGAAACTTATTAACGCACATTCTCTCCGGGGGCATTGTATTGCGTGGATTGATCACCAAACTAAAAAGGACAACGAGCAGCGGCAATGCAACCAGATATGCAAGATGCCATACACGCTATGAGAATGGTAATAAAAATGAAAAAAGAAGTAAACTCAGCCTCCGCTCGGTTCTTGCCTCACTACCATTCATTGATTTAATGAGTTTGCCTTGCTATTATTGTTCGACTATGTAGAATCAGATTGTTACTCTTAAACAATATTCTCATCTACCTGGATACATGATGTACGAGCGTGTGAGAAAGGTAAAGAAGCGAAGTATACCCTTTGTTCTTGTTACTTAATATATCCGAAAGGAGAATACTCATCATTATTTCCTTCTCATGCTATGGTAGAATCCATGTCTTATACCTATCATCTCTACATAAATATTATCTACATATCGATACATTTATACTGCATAGATGAATGGATCGATCAAACATAATATGCATGCAGGATTCGGACAAAATACTCTCTCTCATATTAATTGGTAATTTGATTTGTTTGTACAATAACGAATGAATTATTTTGTTTGAAATATTTTATTTGCTTCCGAAAAGTATTTTTATGGCGCTCTTGAAAATGGATAAACGGTACATATATGTGTGTGTGTTTTAGATATATTATCTACGTGTGCGCCTATTTGACCGCTAATAATTATCATTACCATTATCGTTAAATTATCATTTTATTATCGTATCGTCATACCACGACGCCGAAATTCAAAACAATGAATATGAAAATTAAAATCTGTTTGACATTTGGTGATTTGATTTGAAATTGTCTCATTGATGTTTGAAATTGGTGGTTGCATCAATCAAAAAATTAAAAATCTCCGACATAATTTATGTACACACCATTGCTATATACCTATTTTTACTTTGCCTCGACTTTGTCTGTTTTTACCATAATAATGTGAATATGTGTGTGTGCGTGATGTTTGAATTTCGCGCGCCATGATAAAATACTGGGTAGTTAATTGTTTACCTTTTTACCGAATTATACCTGAATACGTAATAATAATAACACATAGAAATACATAGTAACATGTAAATGTATAGAAGAAAGATGTGGCAATAATAAAGTGATTGAAAAAAAATTATGTCCCTTAATTTATATTTAATTGAAACTGTGCTTAATTATTGCAAATTAAACATATCATCATCATCATCATTATTATTATTATTATTTTATTATAGTGAGAATAATGAATGTAATTATTACATACATAATTAAAGTGGTAGCAGTAATGATGATGGAAGATAACCGGATAAAAAACATAATATCACCGTTACAACTTCTAATTACAATTATGAAGAAATTTTAGTTAGTGTTCATTAAATTTCTACTAATCTTTATAGTTCCTCAAAGAATTATAGTCACTGCCAAATTAAATCGACTATGTACAGGATACCGATTCATCCTGGGTACTGTTGATCTCTTACGAAAAATAACGATGTATAATGTCGATCTATAAATTACATGCGTATTTGTAATGTAATGTATTCATCAATATAACGATAACTAAAAATAATTCGGTGTAAACTTTCATTGGAAGAAATTATGCGTGTGGAATGGCTGGCACTAGTCAACTATAGTCATCCAGTTGGCATATGTCTTGCTTCATTAGGCAAATCCTGTAAGAATATCCCACGGGCGCTATTTTTACACCTCTATCTATGGGTAGGGCGGGAATTACGGTGGTAAATTTTTTATCTTGTAATCGGCCAAGAACAAGAAATTAAACTCAATCAACGTTTGAAAAAATAGTCGCCATATTAGGCAACAATATGGAGGCTGGATCAACCACCACCCTTGTAGCCAAAATCTTTGTGGGACGTCTCTCTATATCTATCAGGCAGGGCTACGATACAATTCTCTATAAATTCGTTTCTGTGCGTGAAACACATTTTATTCCTCCATCCCAGCAATGGATGCGTGGGCTTAGATTCAATAGCCTCAATCAATCAGTCATGGTATTTGAAAAATGGAAGACAAAGAATGACATGACATCATCAACTACCCGTTTTCAAAACCATTATCCGCGGATTCAAAACGCGAACCTAACAAGTTTATTACGAGGAGGTTATGCGGGCGAGGTGGTTTTTTAATCTATTCAGGTCCCTAAATAATTTTTGGGGGAGGGGGCATTCAAGTAAATATCTCGTATGCTTGGTTGAATAAGAGATATAAAAATAATACACATATAAATAAAAAATACTTTCAATGATAACCCTATTCTGAAAGAGGATAAAAAAGGCAGGTGCATATACATAAATTAAAATTATCAATTATTTATTTAAAATTCTTAATAATTAAATATATAGTACAAAAAGGTGTGTTCAATAAAAGTATTATTTACATATATTCGCACATACCATTATAACTATTAATAATAACCACTATACTGTAGTAGCATGTACAAATAACAATAATAATAATAATAATTATAGAGAAAAAAATCTTATATAAATTGGAAGGTTGAAACAATTCCTTTTTTCTCCGTTCAAGCGGTGTTTTTTAATATTTTACTGTTTCTCTTGTCCTTTGCTCTTATATTCTCTTTGATATTACACCTACACTCCATCGTTATTTTTCTTAGTCCTTTTTTTCTCTGGCCGTCTTTAATTATTTGGATATTTAATAAATAATCCAATTTTAATTCCGTAATTAACTATTCAAAGAGGAAAGATAATTGTCATCAATAAGAGACATCGATTAGCGAAGAGAGCTTAGAAGAACTAAATAATCTAAAAGGCGAGATACTGATAATTCTTACAAAGATCTGTGGTAAAATCTCTGGTCAAACCACTATTATTATGTATTTTTTATATCAAGCAGAAATAAATTAGTCACCCCACTTTACCCGGAATATAAAAAAGCGTCTCAATAAACACTTGACCGTATAACACCACCACCACCACGCCACTTTACTCCTTCCTCGCTCTATAACTATTTATAGCTATTGGCTGGAAAGAGATATAAATAACTTGCTCTCATCAATATTCTTCATCGTACGTTAAAAAAACTCCACAAAAAGAAATCATTTTATTTGAAGACACGTTTCACTCATCTCGCGAGACGAAGCAACAACAAACCAAACCTCGTTGTACATAAAAAGCATAGAATATAATAGTCAAATTATTAATGTTTGAGCACAATTAAAAACCCGCATATACACACCACAACCACACAGCGCACACACCCATTTTTAAAAGATTCACGTGAAGATCATCCGAGAACCTGCAAAATTTCCCAATTAATCACCGGCAATTTATCATATAGTATATCGGAATAGAACATAATTTAATTTATAATAGTTTGAATAATTATTCTATTCATTTGAAAATAAAATTATTTTATCAAAGATAAACCGGTTGGTTATATGTGCCCTGACCATTGTTGAAAGAAAATTAATATAAAGTGTCCCCTAACTTTCAATCGAACAAACAACACTACCAAAAAAAATAAAAATAAAAATAAAAATGGCCGCAACAACAGCATCATCTTTTCTACCACAACCACAATCCTGTGTATCACTCTCCGTAGTACCTTCACCATCATCACATAGAAACCATAGTGATGACGAAGATTCCGATCATCACTCACACAATCATCGTAAGTCCGTGCAATTCTCGAGATTCTTAGTTGTCCATGAGACATGGTGTAACGACGAGTATGATCGAACATCAATGGAACCAGCGCGTCTGAATTTCAAGGAATACTCTGAGCTGTTACAACTTCGATGTGATTTACGTCGTGAAATGGAGAAAATGAGAATGATGGCAAAAGCATCAGACTCCGAAAATGACCATTCAGTCGATGATATTCACGACGATAAAGATCAAAACCAACGACAACGACGAAGACAATCATGTAATAACTCTAATAGTGAAAATCAACACATCTAGACGTCTATCTATCGGATGGCGACGTTTTGTACGAAATGATTCGATTGTACATTGACATTTGTGTGTTGTACTGTTTCTTATAAGTTTCTTGCTGTTTCCTTTCGTGATTTCGTTGACGTAGTAGTTGACATATTTGGGAATTTTTATGTGTGATTTTCGATATCGCGTTTTTCTTTTATTCTTTTAATATTATCAAAACAAGTTTAACATATAAAAGAAACATTCACACGCTCCCTTCCTGAAATCTTATTCTTCGATTTTATGTTTTAATATTTTTTTTATATATACGCGATCCCCGCTCCTTTGTTCATCATCATACATATTTCAATATCCCAAAGAAACGTTGCCGTTCGCTTCGAATAAAATAAAATGAAGGAACGAACGAACGAACGAACGAGTCGATTACACATGTCTTTAAATGTACAAAGTTTTTATATTATTAATTCGTGATAATATTTATTATCATCTACGCTCATCAGTCCCTTTTCATTTCTGGTATCCTTTCCTAATTATCCCTTTGATACCCGTTGTCCATTCTTGCATAGATGGATGGTATTTACAGGAGATGGGAATTATATATATATATATATATATTACAATAAAAGAATCTATTCTTTTATCTTTTTTATTTTTCTTCTTTTTTTCTTTTACATCATTGATTTGTAAATTTCTCAAGATCGTTAAATAGACTCACTCAAAATGATAGACATAATAATATCTAATTAATATAATTTTTTTCTATATCTCCATCTTATCATATCAGAATATCCGACATCATCATTTATAGTTTTTCCTTTGTAAATAAATCTTATCAACCGTAATGATCATTCATCACAGCTATGTTTATTCTTCAATTCTAAGTAGAAGTATCATCAACTTAAAAATAAAATTCATCAATTATAATTGAAAGTTTAAGTCGATCATCTTTTCTTCCTTAACTCGGGACTTTCACCATTATCCATTATTCAATGCATGATCAACATCAAAACATCATACTTTTGGTGAGTAAATGGAAAGAGTCTGGTTCATTCATGTGCATATCCATTCACGCTTACATATATTAGTGTCTCTTTTCCATGCACATTTCTTGCATATGTTAAGCACATATGATTTCATCCTTGCACAATATGATTTCCTCCTTGCATATTTTGAATCAATTATGATACCGACAATACATTTTTTTTAATTATATGCAATGATGATAATTAACATATATGAAAGGTCAAAACCACAATCTTTTCTTTTCTTATCATTATTATCCTTATTCTGTCACTCACACTTCTCCCCTGTTTTCGTAAATCCTATATTGATAAAACTCGATCGAGTCCCTTACATGATTGCAGAATACGCCGTGATTGTACATTTAACTAAAAATTGAAACTAAATAAAAACTAAAATTCAGAAAAGTCATCATTACAGGGTTACAATATATAGTCTAAAAACCTGTTATTTTTTTCATCCGTATTTCATTCCTAAACTTGAAATTTAAACAAGTATCGTGACATCACGAGCATTTGAACCTAAATCTCTCGTCAAATTCGGTAAGGGCGGTACCACAAAATTAAACCCGTTATACCAGAATCATGTAAAATATTAAACGTTGACTTGTGAAAAGTTCTCGTCTCGCTTCCAAGGTGATTTTGAGCAGTCACAGACCTCCATAAATCAGTATTCATATTAAAAAATTACCTGAAGGGAAAGATCTGGCGAAATCCAGATATTAAAACAGTATAAGAAACCGATTTTTTTTCACAGTGCCTGCATCAATCACGCGATGATCTTACATACGAAAGAAATAACGATAATAAAATAAATAAAACAACAAACGAGAAACAGCAAATGGAAAACAGCAAACGAAAGCAGCAAACGAAAGCAGCAAACGAAAGCAACAAACAAACAAACAACAACGCAAAACGCAAGAAAAGTATTACAACGATAACGATGGAAGGAAGCAACGACATTACTAGAATTCAGCAATTAGCTGAAGAATTAACACAAGAAATTCGGGATCACCACCCAGATGTGATATTACAGATAGATTTTACGGGACCGCAAATAATTATCCCAGAATTAATAACTACGGAGTTATTAGATATGGGAATATCAAATAATAATAAGGAAATAGAACTGAAATAACTGAATATAACGAAGAATTTAAAAAGGCGTGGTTTGGAAGCACAGAAGGAGAAATTCAATTTGAATTTACGGAAGACACATCCAAAAGACATATCAGAGTTTTGGGTAGAATTTGGAAGATGTTTCAAATCAAGATGGTGTAGTGGAGCAAAGTTGAGTTTATTGCTAATGATAGAAAAAGAATTGGAACAAGTGAAGAGGTTGAATACAAGTCAAATGGATTTGGTAAAAGGGAAAAATGAGAGTAAAGCCACCATATTATGTAAAAGGCTGCAATTAACAAAGTGATTGGCCAAAATCTTTTCAAACAAACCAGAAAAGTTATTAACAATCTGTATAAGTTGAGTCAATTATAATTGAAACAGTTGGTTCAACAAATTAAAGTGTGAATGAGTTGAGAGTAAAATTATTATAAAATATAGATAATTTACACCAAACAAAATAGTAAATTCATTATATTACTTATTTTATTATGCTATTTTCAAATATTTATTTATTTATTTATTTATTTAATCTATTAAAAATAATATTATTTATAATCTTTATATGAAAAAATATGTATTTTACTATTACTTTCATTATGTCTAATTTTTCTTTAATAATTTTTATAAAATAATATTATATAATTAAAGCTTTAGCTAATTTTTTTTAGAAATATTTAATTAAATATTGATATTTTTAGTATTATTGAAGTATAATATAAGATTAATTTATATTAATAATAATAAAAGAATATTATATTATATTTTCTTATTTTATATAATTAATTAATAATTATTATCTATTTTATATCATATTTAATTATACTTTCTTTTTATTATGATACTATATTTATTTTATTTCTTATTTAATTCTTTATTTAGATATATATTAGAAAATAATTATATATTAGATTTTTAATATATACAGTGGCCATCAAAAGTAATGCAACGCTTAAATTTTTTATTAATTATAATTAGTAAAATACATGATTTTCCTTACATATAAAAGTTTTTAATTTTACTAATAAATATTTTTTATTTTTACCTCAAAAAATAGCTAAAGT